CGTCCGCACCCTCACTCCATCTCTCTCTCTCGTCCGTGCCCTCCCGCTTTCCCGTGCCACATGGCTCCACGCGGCCCATCGCCCCCTCGCGCGTTTCACACAGTGCTGGCTGCAGTTGCACCACAATGTCCTGCTCATTCATCCTATCAACGCTTTGTTAGATGCCTACAAGGCTCGCCGAGGTTCTAGTCTCGCCACCCATGACACCGCCACGAGAAATCTCGCCGCGCTCTCAGAGCATCAGCTCGTCCAGCTCGCCGCCTTTGTGCCAGAAAGAGCTGTCGTCGTCATCGTGCTTCCCGCTGTGCGCGTCTTCGTCAAGAAACAGGGCACAGTCCGTTTGCTTCCCGGGATATCCGTCTGGGCGGGCGTCATTTTGAAGTTTGATCAGGGCCCTGAAGACCGCGATTCTTGGGTCGAGTCCTTTGCGGACGCGAAGCGAAACCCCGACAAGAACTTGTCCAACTTTTCCGTTCAACGTCAGATCGGCAAAGGTGCTAGTGGACGTGTGTATCTCGTGCGCGATGAGGAGGAACGCAAGAGTCTTGCGCTCAAGGTTATCGAGAAGAGCAGCGTGTACGAGTCGGACGATGCTTATCGCCACGCCATCGACGAGCGTTTAGTTTTGCAGATTGCTGCAGGACATCCCTTCGTCCTCGGTCTCAAGTATGCCTTTCAGAATGCTAACCGTCTCTTCCTCGTCACCGAGTACTGCCCTGGCGGTGACCTGTTCGGCTACATGGAGAGAAGGATTCAACCTATGGACGAACATGTCGCCAGATTTATCGCTGCTGAGATTCTACTGGCTTTGGAGCATATCCATAGCTTTGGCGTTGTTTATCGTGATCTGAAACTAGAGAACATATTGCTGGATGCAGACGGGCACGTAAGGGTTGCCGATTTTGGGTTGTCAAAACTTCTCAAGGCTCCCAATGGATATGTGAAAAAGACGAACACTTTTTGTGGCACAAGGGAGTATGTTGCTCCAGAGATGATTCGCGGGGTCATGTATGACACAACGTTGGATATCTGGACGTATGGAATACTATTGTACGAGATGCTTTCCGGACGCACCCCTTTTCACAGCTCCGATCGCACCGACATCTACAAGCGCATCGAGAAAGCACCGATCTGCTACCCGCGGCACTTATCGGAGGAATGTAAAAGCTTGCTGGAGAAGCTTCTCATGCGTAAGCCGGAAGAGCGGATAGGGGCTGGGGAAGTGGGACTTGACGAGATCAAGAAGCACAGCTGGTTCAAGGGCATTGACTGGATTGCGTTGCACAACAAGACTGGGATAAAGAGTCCACTGAAAAAGCACTGTCGGATGCTCAAGCCGGTAGAGCAAAAGGCAAGTGCTCGTGAACGGAACAAAGGGATACCGGAAAAGGCGCTGGTGACATTGGAGGCAGACTTGAGGGAGGATTTTGAATTTTTACAAGAAACTTCAAACCACACTGTTGTGGATCTATCGCGACGACCACAATCGCCCATGGCAAGACGGCGACGAATGATTTTGGCAGGGTACGCGTTTTGCGAAAAGAATGCTGCGAAACTCAAGGAAGTGGCGGACGAGAAGAAGAGCCAATCGCAACAACAGCAAAGTGATGAACTAGAGACAGTTGCTGGTGGCGTAATATCTTAGTTTAGGGTGGTGTTCATAAGGTAGGGTTGCAAGATAGTTGGCGGGATTGTGGAGGTTGCAGTTTTGATTTGTATAGAGGAGTATTTTCGGAGTCTGGCGAAGAAATGCATGCTAGAAATTTCAATTTTCCAAACACGTTTGAGATGGAAGATGCACTGAGAGAGCTTTGAGGGCACAGGTAGTGGTGCCAAGATTGTTTGAGATGGATTGCCGTTCTTGCGCCTGTGCGGGTAAAGAAAAGAAAGGTAGAAATTTTTTACGATGTTTGGTTGGCGGCACAGGAGTTGCATGCATGATGCCGACAACCGAGTAGAGGCGTCGTGGTGTGGAGGACAGTGTCATGGGGACGACGGCTGCCGTTGCACATGGGCACGCGAGGTGACGGCCCTCACTGTCGGCGATTCGATTCGATCTCGTGTGAGAGAGGAGTCTTCCAGATCATTTCGCAGCAAATCAAATCCAACGAAAATCACATCAATTAGCTTTCCCTGAAGACGAGTTGCTTCTAAACTCCGCCAAGTGTTTGCTATTGACTCGATTTGCCGACAGCCGCCGTTTCCTAATGCTCTCGAGTTACGTGTCTGGCCAATTGCCATACAGAGCAGACATCTAATCAACAGCGGACCTCCGCTAGCACTGGATACGTGTCATTCTGTACGCTATCCGTCTCGATAGTTGCTGATACCTCTTGCTGTACGACGTGTACAACGTGTACCGCTCGGACCCTTGCAAGTTGCCGCAGCCTTTGTCTTCGTGCACGACACACACACACACAGTAAGTTATCAATCAGGAAAAATCAGACACTCTTCCCATAAATCTACTGATAGGGTTCACTTTTAACACTTACCTATGTACAGACCCTACCCAAACAGCCATGTCCGTCTAGTCAAAACAAGATACCGACACGAGTATGCTAAATGACAACCGCCACACACCCAACATCCACCTGACACCCCTCAAAATTCCGATTGATCGCCCTGCAAGCCTGCATCGCTTCCAAATATCCCAACCCTGCATCCTCCGTCCTCTCCTCCCCGGTGGCGAGCATCGCGCTCTGCAGCACTCTCCCCACGCTCATCCCGACGGCAGCATTCGACGCTGGCAAGTGCGGGCACGCCTGCAGCACCATGCGCCCGGCCACGTCAAATGCAGGCGGCGCCGACTCGCGTCTCGTCCCCACCCCGTGCCACGCCAACCGCACGTTGACCACGGCCGTCGCGCACTCGGACACACGCCCGTCCAGCTTGCGCCATGATCCGTCCGTAACGTCCCCTCGCAACTCACCGCGCGCCTCCGTCTCACTCGACAGCGCCTCGCTCATCTGCGCCGCCGAGCTGAACGAAACCTCGTGACCGCGATGCCCGAACCTGAACAGCGGCGGGAAGCCCCCTCGGCCGAGTGGCACACCGTGCTGTGGTCTCACCACGCGGTTCCAGTGGGTGTCAAGAACCTGCCTTCCCTCCCGCGTGGCCCAGAAGGCGGGGCGCTCGGAGCACAAATTAGAGCCCTTTGAAAAGACGTCGGCGACTTTGCGGAGCTGTCTGAACGGTCTGAGAGGGACCAAGATCGTGGGTTGCGCGCCCACGGAGACGCGGAGGGTAGTGCGGGCGCACTTGCACTGCCCGTCGACGGCAAGTGGGCCTGTGCAAGCGAGAGGTGGGGCGGCGAAACGCGCGCGGCAGAGAGTCGTGCCGGCGCAGTCGCAGACGTAGCGGAATCTGCACGGGCGCTGGTGGCAGGTCGTAGCGGAGGAGGGGGAGAGGCAGAAGGAGGGGGAGGCGAGGTGGCGCATAGAGCATGGGCACTCGCCGGGGCGGGTAAGAGAGGAGCAGTGGGAGGCCAAGTCCAGGGTTTGTGTGAGAGGGAGGAGAAGTAGGAGAAGAAGGGGCAGGAGGGATGGAGACATGGTTAGGGGAGGAAGGGGGGGAAGAGGATGCGGGGGATGACTTGGCGATCCACAGTGAGCAGGTATAGACAGGCACGAGTTGGGTTGTAGAGAAGGGAAGAACGGAATCGATGCGGGCGCGATCGGATACGCGACGAAGAAGCAAGAGCGATGGCAGGAGTTCACCAAACGGGAGTGAGAGTGTCCGTGGGGAATGGATGCGCGAGTAGAGGGGACGGCAAGTCGAGAGATGGCAGCTAAAGAAGGGGGAGGAGTGGCAGGAGAGGAGGATGCAGTTGGGGGAGCGGAGCAAGCGTGTCTGGAATGAGATTGTGCGTACGGGGTTGGCAATGTTTGGTTGATATGAAAAGGCGATGAGAGTGCACCTGAGGATGGGACAGGACGGGGCGAGCGCCGTGGCCCGGTAAATGCCGGGGAGGGGCAGCGGGGCGTGTGGTGACGTGTTTCGGGGGCGCCGTGGCTTAGAATCGGGCCCGAGGGGACCGATGGGGGGCGAGGGGGCGTCCCTCCAGCTCCGTCCAGGAGGCCGCTGTTGCTGCGGCAACCCGACGAGCACAGGTGAGTTGCGATGCAATGCGCACACGGCTTCAGTGGAGCCCGAGGGGCGCGCGTGTGGCGGCCCTTGTTTGAGCGCCCCGCTGCGTGCCGCAACCACGCCCGCCCCGCTCTGGACGGAACTTCTACGGGCGTACAGAGGCGGTATTGTACGTGTGCGGGCGCATCGGGTGTGGGGTGGCGATTGCCTTACTGTTGTTGCTTTGTTGATAATTTAGAAACAAAAAGTCAAGGTAGGGTCTTCAATATCACGCTGCAATGAGACATCCCCGCACGACGCTTGGCGTCCCTGAGGAGTAATTATGAATTACTCCTCACCCAACCCCGACGTACCGTATGTGTAGAGCGGTATCATGCTAACTTCCACTCGCCCTGTTTCGGTGCGAAGCACGTGTATGAAGACAAAGGGTTCCGAAAAAACGGGGATGCATTCCTTATCGAAAAAGCCCGATATCAAGTGCCCTCACAAAGGTCACAGATACTTCCTGCCTCTCTGCACCACCTCGATTCCACGTTGTAGAATTTCAAAAAACATGAGCAAGGCTTTTGGCTGAGCTAGTCGCGGGCATGCATGGGCCCGTAGCGGTTTAACACGAGCTGTGTACAGTACAAACGTATAAACCCCGACTTGGCCGCAACGAACAGCAATCTGGAGCTTCGATTTCCTTGTGTTTTGCCTCAATTTGGACAGCCAGTCTTGGCTGTCTGCAGGCCCCTTTTTTGTAATGTTTGATCATACATTACAATCCGAGGCTCGCCAGCAGTGCACACATCGTCATGTCACACTAAAAAGTGCTATCTCTCCCCTACAGCTTCCGAAATCTCCCCGTTTGATCCGTCCATCTTTCTCCCATGACCCGTTGCCCCCGCGCGGCCCTCATCCCCATCGCCACCAACCTCCCCCGCCGACGAGCGCATGTCATTGCCCGACGCGGCGCGTTCCGCAACCGTCGCATGGCTCTACCTGACGTCTTGCGGCCCGCCGCTGTCGCGCCCCCCTCGCGCCCCGCAACCGAGGCGCCCATCGTTTGCGAACCGCCTGCTCACCTTTGTGCGCTCCCGATCGCGTCTTTCTCGCCCACCGCGCGCCGCCCCGAAGCCCGAAATCACGGACGAGGAGTGGCGCCAACTTATTCTGGAGTTTGAGCAACGCGCCGATGACAAGTATGATCCAGAGGCCATCCCGCCCGCGGGCAGGCTCGGTCGCCTTGACCCGGCCCAGTTTGAGTCACTGTCATACGTCTTCTGCGGCGCTATGACCGCCATCACGACTGTGTTTTGGTACCTCGGTCGCATTTTGAGGATGGATTCGGTTTTGTTGCTGTTTTACCCGCTCCCCGCAATGTATGTCGCCTCGAGGTTTGGACTCAGGTTTGCGGATTTGACCCTGTTGTGCTCCGTCTTTCTTATATTTACCGTCATGGGGCCGCTGTATGCTGGTTTGTACTTTTTGAATACGGGGTTGCTAATACTTACCTATTCCCGTGCATTGTGGTATCGATGGGGCTGGAAATTGACGTTGCTTGGAGGGGGTCTCGCCAAAGGTGTCGGTCTTGCGTTGCAGCTGGCCTGGATTAGTGTCATTTTAAGGTACAATGCGTGGAAGGCCGCCGCAATACAAGTTACCGCCATGCTGACTTTCATGGGCAACATTGCTAACAAGGTCCTTGGGAGGGTGGTCTTTGGCGAGCCGGGTATGTCTGCAGTGCAAGCTGGCCTATCTGTCGTTGTTGTCCTGCACTCGTTTTATCACGTCTTTTTCACACTGTTGTTTATGTCGATACTGCTTACCAGGCTCAGAGCACACCTTGTCAGGGAGCCGCCAGATGTACCCGGTGTGGAATGGTTGTTGAAAAGAGCAACCCGCAGCAAGACTAGCTAGATACCCGCAATGCCTTCAATGCCCATCAGTTTAATGTGGACATCAATAGACCTTTAGACAAAATACCGGGACGCAACACTACGAGCAGGTCGATTGTTAATTGGGGTGCCCGGTTAACAATCGACACTGTGCATGCATAGTACAGTAGACCTTTCACTCAGTTTTCGGCTTTCTGTGTAAACACGAAACTTCATGTTCAGTAATAGGTCTCCAACGCAAGTGCCGGGGAAATGCGCAGAACAGGGGCGACTGCGGGATGTCTCGGTCGTTTTGTTGGTGATCCGAAACACGCTGTAATGAACAGCAACAGCAAACTCAACGGCCTCTACAGTAATGCGCCAAAATCAATTGCAAAAATGATACTTTTACCCAGTTACAGTATCCTTCCGCTGCCCCTACATGCTTTCGCTGTGCTCCCGTCCAAACAGCTCCCGAACACCTTCCGCACGAAACCGTCGTTCCACGAAGTCCGCTCGTTTCTGACGATAGCGCTTCTGTATCCGTCGACGCCGTTCCAATTGCGAGTTCCCAATATGATACCATCTACTAGTTAGCTGCCGATATAAAATCATGTCGTCATCACGAAGCAGCTTCCACCGTATGTGAAAATTGGTCAGACCCAGACACAGACGAAAAATTGAGTCATAGTTTGATTCTGACCACTTCCACTTAGACCCCAGCACATTTCAAAGCACACATAGACGCCCAAAATAATTCTCTACCAGAATACGGTCACTCGATATGAACTTGTTCGTCGACACGTCCGCAGGTGACAAAAATGCACCTTGAGGTTTACGCTTGGGGTGAATTATTCGGCAAAACTCACCAGCCCCTTGGTAGCCTTTATCCGCCAGAATAGCCCATTCATTAGGATATCTCTCTGCCAGCGGCCCGTTGTCCACGATTTCCAATTCATCAGTCTTCTTGCGCTTGGTGCGCCGATGAAACCACAGCATTTTTTGAAATATAACGAGATCCGAAACCGACCCTGGCTCATGCATGCTGGAACCCACAGCAAACCCATTTGGCGTGACTGACACTTCGACTTTGTATCCGTATAACTTGTGTTTTCCACTGTAGTACCGCTTTCCCTCTTCTACAGTACCGAATAGCCTGAAGGCAGGCTGAAATGTGACATCCGTCGCGTAGCTTGCCATGGGGTAGTTTTTAAAAACGTGCCCATTCGCTTGTAGTTCTTTCATTGACCATCTCTTTGTCTGGTTTGTGACGTAGTGATCATAAACAGCTTCAGATAGAAGCTGTATGAACTTAAGCACCATCCTCTCAAAAGCAGACGTTTTCTGGCCAAAAATTCTTGCCAAAAGTCCCAAGTACCCCCATGCTTGAGAACTGCTAGAGTCATAAACAGTACATCCTTAGGTGTCTGCGCGCACTTTCGCCCTCGGCCAACATTGTAGTTCTCCAGCACCAGCCTTTCAAACGCAGCCCAAATTCCAATGAATTGGGTCGGGTTGAAATTTTTCATCTCAACAATGGCCTTCGCACCTCCTTGATCGTAGAAGCGGTCGAAAATGGGGTCATCTGTCCCGTTATCCTCGTCACTGTCGTTCGGGCGGTCATTTTCGAACAGTTCCAGCTCATTTTGGCGATCTATAGAGGCGGCGGAGAGCAGATGCAGAGCTTGTGCTGCATCATGGGACGAGAAGCAAGCCATACTGCTTCGTCTGGCAATGACGGGGAGCGTGACACGGAAATAAAAGGGGGGATTAGAGCACGAAATGAGCGGTCCAAGTTGACAGCGGGGACGGGAGAGGAGACAGAGAAGGGAAGGGCACCACCGGGAAGAGAAGGGGAAGGAGGCCGAAACGGGAAGTTGCCTTTGAGGAGTGAAGCGGCGGGGGTGTGGGGCAGGAGCTGGCAGGGGGGTGGGAGGTTGGGGTGTGGAGATGGCGAGGTGTGGGAAGGGATTGGGAGAGATGTGGAAGTGGGGCTGTCAAGGTGTGGAAGACGAGGTAGAAGTGCGCTGTAGGAGGGCGGGAGAATCGCATGTTCAGAATTTTAGAAACGCGTTGAGTTCTTGCATTGCGATGTGGCCCACTCGTTTGTCGAATGACTTGGGCATTACGATTTCACATGCCGCGCTTTCACATTCACTCGAAGTCGAGGAATGGACCACGTATCGTCGATTGGTGGGTTTGTTGTCCAGAATGCCAACCATATTTACAGTTAGTGTGGTTTTTATGTATTAATTGATCATATATCAAAAATGATTGTCTTCTCAGCAATTAATTGGCTCTTTTGGCTGTGCGGGGGAATTTGCGTGAATGGTCTAATGAGCGTGGTCTTGTAAAAATTAATCTAATTGCAAAATGACACTGTATCTTGTCAGAACACGGACCTGCAGAGTAAAGATCGGCATTTTGATCAAACACCGACATATATTTGGCAGAAGACACAATGCAGTACAGTACCTTCGCGATAACTGCAATCCCCTATACTGTACTGTATGTGCAACTCCTCGATAAATGAAACGCCAACTGCGGAACCATCTCCGTAGTAGCTAAAACATTATAAAAATATAGGACCGTTTCAGATTCGATGACTGCAACAGCCCTAAGAAATGTCCAGAGCTTCAATTTGGCCCAAATATGTTCCAACCGTTACTTATCCAGTTAGAACCGTTGCAAAAAGTGTCCGTTTCCATGATCGGCAGAAGTAAACAACCAAACACAGCTATTGTTTCAATTTATAGACCTCCGAAACTGTCGCAGAATGTGTGCAAGTTGCCCCTCATTCGCCCAAGCCCCTCCACAGTGTGGAGTCCGCAAATCAGCAATACTGTCCCCTTTTCCACTACTGCCCTATAATGGTTGTCATTTCGTTGACCCTCGCCCCAAAAAAAATTTGTGAGCATGTGACGCTTCAAAAAAACCAAGGTGATACAATGACTTTGCAGAAAATTTCGAAATGGGCGCAGGAAAAATTTAAGCTGACCCAGCTTCAAAGCCGAGAAACCATTTCGCGAACTTTAAAGAACTCCGCCAATTTATTAACAGGTCAAAACCACGAAATGGCAAAAACATTCGAATTAGGCAGGGAAAAAACCATGCCCTAGAGACAGCATTGTTTGGTTGGGTGATAAGTCAGCAAGAAAGGAGGGTCAATATAAGTGGCGATATGATTTGCTCAAAAGCTTGCAGGATTCAAGATCAGGCGAATCAGAGGGTTAAAGATGCGGAAAATCCGAATTAAAATTTTCTGTGGGATGGCTAAACAATTTCAAATCTCGATGGGGACTGCGCATTTTCCGATCTCATGGGGAAAGCGGGGACGCTGATATGGCAGCCGTACTTCGTGATTTACCGAAAATCAAGAAAAGACTGGAAAATTACGATACTAAAGACATTTTTAATGCGGAAGAATGCGGACTTTTATTAAAATGGCTCCAGATAAAACAGTTGAGACTGAACGGCTACCAGGTCGTAAAAAGGCGAAGGACCGAATTACTTCATTATTTTGTTGCAATGCTGATGGCAGTGAAAAATACGAGATGATGGCAATATGGCGTTCTTTTCGTCCTCGAGTATTTAAAAAGAAGACCAGACAGGAGCTAGGATTTGATTTCCACGCCAATAAAAAGGCATGGATGACGACGGCTTTATTTTTTAGTTGGCTGAAGCGGTTCAATGGATATTTCGGGAATAAGGAAGGCCGCAAAGTTGCTCTTTTGATTGGCAATTGCAGCGCCCATGGATCAGGTGACTATTTACCTGCTCTATCGAACGTTGATGTTATTTTTCTCCCGCCGCACACAACTTCGAAGCTCCAACCACTAGACGCCGGGATAATTGCTGCCTTAAAACTAAGATATCGACAACTCCCAATGGATCGGGCGATGGATTTAATTGATGAGAATGTCCGAAACATTTACAATGTGAATGTTTTGGTTGCCATGAAGTGAATAAAGTCCATTTGGACGGACTTGGACAGTTCTATTATAAGCAATTTGCAGGAAACTGTGGTATCACAGCGCAGATTTGTAATTTGTACAGCACCCGCCGCCGCGGGTGCCTTACAGGCGGGCGACTACACGTGGGCATTACAGGCGGATGGACGACACGTGTGCCTTACAGGCGGACGAACTACACGGGGGCATTACAGGCCGATGACGTACTGTATACAGTACAGCCCGGAGGTTGTATATGACAAGGTACAGTAGTAATGGCATAGTACAGTGCATTGCACCATAGAGTACAGTAGTACAGTAGGACGGACAATGTCCAAGACCCCGCGACCTCGCTTATTTAAGCGACGGCGCCGGGCAATGACAGTAAACAGTCAAGGATCTTTTGGGAGCGGATTTCCTTCGACGGTGCGACACCGCGGGTCAAGACAAGCCTCTGACTTAGGCGACATTGTCGGCATCTGTCTTGCGACATTTCCATGGCTTCTATTGCCTTTACTTTACCTATTCCGTTCCTCCGTCCGTGCGACTACGCGGGTTAGGACTAGCTAGTCCTAGCCTCTAACGTCGGCGTGTTACTGTCGCTCGACGTTTCAATTGTTTTCCTTTTTACTCTGTCGTTGCGACCACGCGGGCTAAGACTGGCCTCTAGCCTGGGCGTATTACTGTCGCACGACCTATTTCTCTCTTCCTGTATTGTGACAATTGTCAAGTCGCGGGCTACGACAAGCCTCTAGCCTTGGCGGCACTATTGACATCTGTCCCGCTCGTTCCCTCTAGGAGTTTCCGCTACTCGGCGCTCCGCCCGTGTCTGACACTAGTCTTTAGGCTCGGGTTCCCCCCTGTTTTGTGTGTTGTTACACCACCCCTTCCAGTGCTGGTCCCATTCCGGGTCCGCACTTCGACCAGTACGTCGTGCTTTTACAGTCGGCCGACGTACCTCCCCTTTGCTCTACCACAGTCCCGATCTACCGCGGGACACCCCCTATTGGTTGTTACCTCTTCCTCGAGCTAGCTCATAGCTGGCGACCGCCACTATACTACAGAAACATACTGGTTTACTGGGGATAGGGGG